ACAAAAATATATATATATATATATATATATATATATATATATATATATATATATATATATATATATATATATATATTACATACAAGTATACATAAATTATATGTAGTTATATATAAAAATAACAAGTATACACGGATTATATATAATTATATATAAGTCATGTATCTCTTCTTACCTTTAATAATTGAATAGTATCCAATTTTACACTTGGAGGAGATAATTTTATGCAATGGTAACTTTTTGCAAAAACGTGCTAAATATATTCATCCTGTAGCTTTTATAAAAGTAAGAGATGTAAGAGAGAAAGAGAGAGAAAGAGGGAAGAGATAGAGAGATTAAAATAATTTAATAGATCAAAATTTCTAAAAGACTTATTAAAAATAACAAGTTAAAATCGAATTGGAATAAAACTTGTCTAAAGAAAGAATTGAGGTTTGTCGATATAGCAGGTACTTATTTTATTGAAAGAAAACATACGCATAATTTAGAAAGGAAAAATTTTTAAATTTTGTATAAAAAAAATATACGCGACGCATGTGTATTATGGGCATAATGTAACATAATATAGTCACAAATCTCTTTATAGTTACTTTATTGCTTAGTCTAAACTAAAACTGAAAATAAATTACGCAATATAGTGAGGAAGAAAAAAATATCAGACATCGAATTGAGAACACACATATAAATATACACAAATGTGATAAATAATCATCATTTTGTTATGCTAGAATTGTATGAATTTTTTGCATCATATAATAATTTTTACGTCGTGTAAAACCATTCCTTATCTAAGATATTTGTATTTCAGCGTCTATTTTATATAATTGTTTATGCATACGATGCTTGGAAATGAAAAGGATTATATGTTAAGTTCAGTGTTACACGTATCTCTCTATGAATTAGAACGCAATAAAAATAAAACAATAGAAATTACGATAATCTATTTTGAAGCGCAACCATCTCTTAGATGTGTCTTTTCCTTATTTCACCTCCCAGCTCTATTTTTCCCAACATCATTTTCTTAAATATTCCCTTAGAAATTCGAAGTGTATGTGGAGAAAGTCACATTGTTCCGAAAAGTGACGTTTTCTAAAATTGTTCTAAAAATGTTCAATTATAATGTTTTAATGTTAAAAACTAATATATATATCATTATAGATGATTACAAGTACAAATTTGTGAAAAAATTTATATTTTCATGATAGAAACAGGAAGAAAAGTAACTTTTCGGAGAATGGTGTGTTTAATCACAAGAATTATTTATTTCATTATATTTCAATATATAGGCGGCCACACTTATAGATATAAAATAAGAATCACAATTAAGAAGTGTCATAATATAAGCTGGTAATACGATTACGTATCTACCTACGACAATCACGCGTCAACATTGAATTTATTCAATAGTCGTGACACAGGAACGTTTCACGAAGATCAAGTAAATGTCGGATGATATGATGGGCATCCTATAGTCTTTATCTCTTAAATAAATTAATTGAGATATAGGAATGTGTAGGAAGAAGATGATTTGGAGCATAGATTTAAATCTAAGACGAAACAAAATGAAAAAGAAGAAATGAAACGAACGCTCAGGAAACTATGATAGTTGATTAAAAAGCACTCTTGGCACATTCAATATCAGTAATTCGGAAAATATGATACTCTCTGACGGAACAATACCAAACTAAAAAATATTTATATATGAGCAACCAATAATTATAGGTATCCTGTCCAAAATTCTCGATATTCTAATATTTGAGTGATCCATAAATCTATACTTGCAAGAAATGCCAATACATATATTTTCAACGTTCAAATAAAGCATTAACAATTTTGCGTGTGTGTACTGGGGGCACTTGTGACAATATGTATGCACATATATATACGGGGTATTATGAAATCGCAAGCAAATATTTTATCTAAAAATCCGTTCAGCAACTTGAAATTTATCTTTTCACGAAAATCACGTGAATTTTGAGTGGGTATTTTTCATATTTGACTCGAAATAGAAGATTCCTCGTATACCCATTTGCAAAACGGTTTGAATATGTTTCTTTCGACATATCTCGGAATGCAGTCGATGTGCAATGGGAGAATTTTATTTCGAGTAATTCTTATAAGAGATATTGTTTCTTCTTTAACTATGTTCGTTCCGAAAAATATTAAAAGAAAGAAAAAATGTTGAAAGAGCGTTTCGCAAACGAATGTATATGTATCGTTGAGAATTAGAACATAGGTTCAGAGACTTTTTTGCTCAGGTCTCAAAAACAATTAAATATAGCCAGTTTTCGGCGGCTTAATCCTCATAGCTTGCATACATGCGAGTGTACATTTTAATAGTTCGTTCAACTTTCCAAGTGCACATATATTATTTATAAATAAAGTTTTATTATCTTTAAAATATTTTCTGTAAAAAGATATAAATATCAGAAAAATGGTGTCCAGTCAAACTTTTGTTAAAGAAACACCAACTTAATCACTTGTTAACATAAGAGCTATTTTGATATCCCAATATTTTCGTTACAAAAAAGTTGACTTATATTTAGCAAAAGGTCTATTGTTTAAATTAAACGTACATATATGGTACTTGTGGTTGTACGAACCTTTGATATTTAAGAATGTGCCAATAGAAAAGATTATTGAATTTCTCTCTGCCATATCATTTGCAATAAAATAGTTCATCCATCGGTGCATACGAGTATTGTTTTTCGTTGATGAAAACGCGCGCAGGAAGTGCTACAACGCTTTATTTTATCTTAACTATAAAGAGTAAGATAACACAAAGACGCTTAGTCTTATTTTTTATGGAAATATACTACCAAAACATCTGAGTTGTTGAGAAAGAAACACTGAAGTAACTAATTTGTCCTGCATATGTATTACGTGGCTTTGTTACATCGCCAATATGTAATAATATAATTAAGTTTGTAACGCTACATGTGTATATATTTCCATAGGTACGCGCGTGCGCACCCACGTACGTATAAACACATCTTGTACAATAAAATCTATAATATCGCTTAAATGTACACGCAAAATACTATTTTGAAACACATTTAAATTTTACGTATATGGTTTATTTGGCAGAGAGAAGCTTGTGTTTATATGGAAGTAACATGATAAATACGTAAAAGGATTATAAAATATGTCAAGACATTCAATTACATGTCAAGGCATTCGAAATGTACGATTTGCCTTATAGTTTAGATGCAAAATGTTCGCAGATGTACGCGACCATTCAATTACTTTCAAGCTTAAATGTTAAATGAACGTACTTGACTAATTCGTAAGAGAAAATAATCATATCCAGAATGTAGCGTTTCAATACATCGAAACGAGTCACATAGCAATTTACAATTTTTTGTTGTTCCGTTTGTTTGTTATAAACAGTATATCTTACGATATACAGAGCGGACAAAACGGGCAATTGATAACTAGGCCCATGAACAACATCATTTTCTATGACAGTCTTTGACTTTGGCATTATTTTAAACAAACATAAATTTTTCTATATACTGTCTCTTCATAATATATCCTCATATATTATGAGAATATCATTTTCTCATTTCTCCTCATTTCCTTTTTCTCTTTTTACACACGTTTGATATACAAACGCAAAAGTATAAATGTGTATAATTTTTATCAATCAACTGAAACACTATACAAAAGAAAATAGAAAGCAAGATTAAAAAGCTCAAGTATTTTCAGGTATTTTCAGTATCCACGATATATATCGAGAATCTCTTTCTCTTTTTCTAAATTACATTACGTTTAAATCTATATATCCATAATACGATATCTATTTGTCACTGTTCCAAAAATTCGATATATGTCTCGTGAAGTTACTATTGTGATATATTGGAATTACGCGTCAATGTCATAGCTAAAATGAAACGGAGCATGTTCGTGGGCTCAGCTACTGATCGTTTAAATCGATTAGCACTCAATGTCATTCGCACAAAATATTGGATCGCTCGTTCAATTAATTTCTAACGATCAAACAATACTACCTGGGGTACTGCTAAGATCGATTGGCTGAGTATTTTCAACTAGTGTGGACCGCATGCTCGACGATGGAGCTTGTGTATCCAATGCCGTTGTTCTCATTTCGCCAAAAGGTGCCCTAAGAATGATACCGTGTTAATTTAATCAGAAATACTCATTTCCTCCTATTAATAACACTATTCGTAAATTAATTTCATACATATATGCGTGTATAACGTGTGTGTGTGTGTGTGTGTGTGTGTAGATAGATAGAAGATTCTGGTATGATCTTTTTTTTTTTTTTACTAAAGTATCAATATATAGAATATTTTATTTTACAATATTAATATAAATTATATCAACTTTCATTCGTAATTAACTGTACAGTATATGATTACTACTGTATATATAGCATATGTATACTGTAAGTATAAAATTTGGTTCCCATAGTAACAAAATCTGATCATAAATAGGCATTCAACAAAACAAAGCACATAAATGAATAAACGTGTCGCAATTTGACACACACACACACGCGCGCGCCCGCGCACACACACCCGTACGTATACCTATAATAAAAAATACCAATTACCAATATATTACTTAAAGATTGTAAAATATTATTTTAAACATTGACATATAAACAAGAAAATAATTTTACAATGATAACAATTGTATGTTCAATCTCAATATGACAAGATACAAAGACTATATATAGAAAACGAAATGATAATGAGAAACTAATTGCAAAATATTACTAAAAGTGGAAACATTGCAACGCATGCATTGTAATACTTGAAATAATGGAGCGCTCATAAAAGCTGAGGAATAAATGATATAACATGCTGACTTATGGATGGACAAACAAAATAATGGGAAAAGGATACATTGTTTCTGATTGAATGAAAATTTGCGATAAAGCATTGTAAGGCGTTGTTTAGAGATGCAGTAGTAAGAAATAAAATTTTACGTATATTACGTATATATATTATTGCCTGGTTAGTGAAGTGGTGCAATGAATGTTTGATGATTTATGTAGGCCTCCAGACGTCGGGATCCTCCATGAGAGTGGTATGGTGATCTGTAGTGGGAGGCACTGTACCCTGTGGGGAACCCACGCCCGACGACGTCATTCCTGCCGGGTCGGGCCTGGATCCTCTGTTGTTATGTTACTGATTAGTAAACACTCTTGAAAATTGTAACACAAACACGATGAAACTTTTTCTTTTTTTGTAACGCGACATATTTCGTCATATGGCATACCGCTGCAAAATATTTTATATAGATGTTTAGGAAATGATATATTTTTCATCGTGATGATTACAAAGTAAAAATACAAACAGAGACCTTTCCTTTTTTCTTTCTTTCAGTACATTTTTCAATATACAAAATCTGTAAAGTTCCTTTATAACATATTTCCCCCACACACAAACCAAAGCACAATAGCATTAATAAAATACAAACACAGTACAAAAGGATTGCTCTTTCACCTCAAAGCAAAGTGTGCATTAAACCATATTGAAAAGCATCACATGTTATTATCTGATTTTACACAAGTTAAATGCAATGTCATACAAGACAGAGTTATACAACAAACGCTTCATTAATAGAAAAGTGAAATAAATAAGTAAATAATTGCCTTACAACACCCACTTTTTAAACAATCCATTCGTTTTTTATGTGTATATACTAAAATAATAAATGTTATCCACAATCTTAAGAGAATTGTGTATATGTGTGTGTATATATATGTGTGTATATATATGCATATCTCTCACTTACTTTTTACCAAGAGACATCAATCCATATATTATACCCGTTGTAAATATTAATCCACTACCAAATATACTACTCATTCCTGGGCACAGGAAGACTGCTGGCAACGCTATTCTAAATTAATAAACATGAAAGGAAACGGTTCATAATTTATTCTAATAATTACATCGCAACAAAGTTGAATAAAAGTTGCAATACTTTGTAAATTACAAAAAGAAATAAGATGTTAAAATTTCTTACAGACAATAAACAGCTGCTCTGTTCCAATATGGCTTTTTCTCCACCCAGTCGCTTAAATTCTGTACAAAGTCGATGAATAGACAGCAGCATGGTGCTTCGATCATTACGACTAAGAAACCAGCTATCATTTGCCACATACCGCTGATTAAACAGTCGATATGACCAAAAATTATAGACGCGCAGTTCCAAGCTCCGAGAAATATTGCAACTGTAAGGATAAAAAAATTTCTGTACAAAAATTGTTCATCCTACTTATTTGAGAAATTGTTGCCTGAGGGGGGAGGAGAGAAGGAGAGAAAGAGGTATATAGAGGGAATATCAATCTCTTTATATCTCGCGTCGTAAAACTAATCAAAGTAACGCAGTACAGAGACTGAGATAATCGTGTAATAATAATGCAATATACGATAAAGTAAAAACAAACAAAATGTTGCTAAAAAGAAGCAGTCTAAAGAGATATAAGATATTTTTTGTAACGTCTAATAGAGTGAGCAATATATCACGACACACGATCGCAAACTTACTTATACTGCCTACGGTACCGAGTCCACGACCTGCGTACTTCATCCACCAAGGTACATCATCCTTGGCAACAGGATCCTGTCCAGGCTTTTGCATGATCGATGCAATTTTTTCACCGAACGACTAGAAACATACATTTACAATATTACAAAAGAATATGCCGCACGATTAGGCCATCGATGAACATATTTAATCATGTACTACCATTTCCGATATGTATTATTATTATCCCTTTATTCGTCAGCTGAGAGTGCTGACAGCACCTTTGATATCTGTTGATGCACGAGAAATCGACCCGCTAGTTTTGTACCTATAATCACGAGGGCGCGCTGTGAGATGTCTCTCAGAGAAAGAACAGATACGATGCAACTAAAGTCACGTTAAGTTATTAGGCGTATCGCGTGTGCGACTTGTATTCGATGCGCCATCTGCATACATTATTCACTAGTTGCTGCGACTTGCTTACGTCGATAAATTACCATTTCGCGGTATGCCTTTCAATAGCGTATCAATCATTTGCTCCATCTAGCGGTGTCGCTAAAAGAACAGCTGAGATCGATCAGCTGGATCATGGTGGAATTATACAAGGGTCCATATGCTTAATCCTTTTTTATCTAAAGATGCCAATACATGGGAGCGTTCCAGCGTCGAGCGTTAAAGCGTTAGCCAATCAACGTATCAGGTCCCAGAAGTATACTTGTAGTTCTTGTGGAAAGTGGCATGTTGATTAGCTACCGCTTTAACGCTCGATGCTCCCATGTAAAGGTACTTTAAAAGTGCCTCTAAAAGAAATTTAGGAACCACCTGATTGGCTGAGAAGCTATATTCAAGACACTTTTATCGATAAAAAAATATTCAGAATATGGGCCAAGGTGTAGCGTTGCGCATCATGGAGGTGGGAATAGAACTAATCAAAAAGTTGCCCAAAAATATTGAGAGTAGCCATTTGCAGGATTCACACCGCGTCCGATGTCCAATATCCAATAGGAAAACAGCTTTCCAATGGAAAGTTAAATTCTCTATTAGAAAGCTATTCTTTTATTGGATATCGGACGTCGTACGTAGTGTGAATCCTGCAATTGGCTTTTTCCAATTTTGGGCAACTTTCTGATTGGCAGCTACTGCGCATCCAACGGAACGCTACACCTTGTATATTTCTACCATGAGCTGGATGAGCTTTGTAGATTTACACACAACTTGTATGCGCGAGTAGTTTTCGACCTATTTTCGAAATTACACAAAAACGACGAGATTTTTAGCGATCACGATTGATATATCGTATCGTCCCTCATGGCATTAAAGATTTGAAAATAAAACATTTATTTATTTATTTATTTATTTATTTATATATATATATATATATATATATATATATATATATATATATATATATATATATATATAT